TGATTCTCGAAAATGGACACATAGTCGTCCGAAACGTCGAAAATATTAAATTTTCAAAAATTTTCAAAATTTCAACATAAGAATATTTTTCTCCACTATTTTATTATATTAAATGTATTGTCAATTAATGCTCATCTTCAAAATAAATAGTTTAATCTTTAATTGAATATAAATCTCATTTTTAACAAAATCATATTTGTTAATTGAACGAATAAAAACACTTCGAACTGTTTTTAATTTCGAACTAGGCACTCGGATTTATATACTTGAATTAATCGTGAACAAAATAATAATTGAGTATAATTTTCAAATAAATTCCAAATGATTCTTTCAAATTTATTTGATTGAGATCCATATAAACGATAACAAATATGATCAAGATGAGATAAGACATATTCATACAATTTAGTATATGGACTTAATTTAATATGTTTTTTATCATTATTTTCAACAATTCCATCTGATTTACTTCGATTTATTGTCAATTTATTCTAAACAACAACATCGTCTGTTTTTTTTTCTTTTTATCCTATTAATTCCTATGATTTATTTTCATTATGAAAGTTAATTCAAATGATAAATTAAAAAATTTTTGTTTTCTAAAATTCTATTCAACTTTTTAGAAAAAAAAAAAAATTTTTTTTTTAAACGAAATATTTCAAGAATTAAATTGATATTATATTAATAAAGATTTATTTTAATTAGTTAACTAAGACAAATAAAATGTCTTTGGTTTATTCTATAATAATATTTTGTTTGAATAAAAATAAAAATCTTCGACAAGATATTTTCCTTCGTTTTTTTTTTTGTTAATTCGATTTTGAAAATTTTTGAGAAAAAAATATTCATTGAATATTGATAAAATCAATTAAACGTTTCCAATATCAGTAGATAATCTTATTTATGGAAAATTTTCATTCAAAACAAAAAATTTTTCAACAAATCGATTTTAATCAAATTCAATCAACTTTTTTCTTTCTTAAATTAAATTCCAAGGGGTTCTACGTCTAAAAATAAAGATTGACACTATAGGGAATTATCGTCATTTTTCTCTAATATCCTCTATAAAAAGTGTGCTCTAGAAAGAAAAACAAGTGTTCGCCGTAGACAGGCTTTAAAATGGTTATTATTTATCGAATTATTTTCATTATTTGACAATCTTTTAGAAAAGGTGGACGACAATTATCATATTTCATAGAATTTCAGATGAGTTGATTTTCGTCGAGCTCGATTATGAAAAAGATATAAATTCTTTTTAAATCGATGATACATATTATCAAATGTTTTCTCATTTTTTTTTTCATGATGAATATAGAAAAAAGAAAAATAAAGTATTCTAAGGGATCAATTTTACTGTTAATTGATCTGTTGTATTTGATTGAAATAATTTTCTTGATACATTTCCTTTATTTGATGATTGAATAAACATTGGAGTTAAATTATTTATTGTGTGATAAGAAATTATTTATATTTGATTGAATTGATGATATTTTTTTATATGATAAAATACCTTTTAATTCAATATCATTCTATAATGAGGATTTTGTTGAAAAAGTCATTGATGATAAATATTTAATAAATGATTTTGATTTACTTATTTGTGTACAAGTTTTAAAAAAAAAATTGTATGATTTTTAAAAAGAAATACTCATCTAATGAATAAACATGTAATATCCAATTAAAATCATGATATTTATCCGAATGGGCATATAATACTAATAATTATTTAATATTAATTTACTAAGATAAATCAATTTATTCATTTATCCATATAAAAGAAAAATCGTTTATTGAAATGATTGTTGAATTTGTTGTGAATTAAATTCATTTGAAATTAATCTGTTTTTTTCCAATAGTTAAGATATTTTCAATAGAATAATAAAATAATTTTAATAATAAATCAAAACGTGATTTACATGATCGAGATGAATTTTCTTTTCGATTTATTTTATTAACATTTTCTATTAAATCATATT